GTTTAGACTATGATAGTATATTATACGAAACTTTATAACTTTATACTTCCTATTGCATATTTCTTGTCATTAATGTGCTGAACAATTTTTGTATGTGTTTATATTTTGGCAATAGTCTAGAACGTCAAATTTTTCAATTATTTTCGCAAAAGTTGGTAATAGTGCAGTTGGTCTGTAATTTTTCAGCATAGTTTTATCATCTTTTGGTAAAAGTAATTGGTCTAATTACACATTTTTTTAGTAAGCCTGGGTATGTGTACCATCTTGGAAGGTTTGATTTATTAAAAATGTGAGTGGAATTGACAATAGATCCGCAAGTTGTTTAACTAAAACAGAAGGTCGACATAGCCTCTATGCCACTACTGTACTTATTTTTTATAGATTTGATAATTTTGACAATTTCTAGTTGATTTACACTACTTAAAAACATTAAGTAGGTATATGAATTTATAACCCGGTCTCTTGTTGTATTTTTATTTTTACTCAACTCATTTTTACCGACTGTAGCAAAATATTCATTAAATGTGTTAGCTAACATTGTTGAACATTCTATTGAATTATCATCTAATTTTATATCAATGTTGCTATATTATGGTTTCTTATTCATCTTATGTGTTTTAGTTTTAATTATTTTCCACGTCGTTTTATATTATATCGTTTTATATGTTTAAAACAAAATTAAGGATATTGTTAATTGAAAATGTTTTTTACAATCTCAATGAGTTTTTTAGTAAAAGTAATGTTAGTAAGTAGTTAATTTTAAGTTTATTTTTCATAACCGACATGGGTACTCGTAGACTGTTGAGCCTAAAACTATATGTTTTTGTATTAAGATCATATTGTATACAGTTATGCAATAAATGTATCTTTATCTTATCTTTATTTATTTTGATATGTTTTCATTAGTCGAGCTTATTCTAATGTTTAAAATTCGTATTATGTAGCAGTTCGTTTTAAAGTTCTGCAATATAGTTTGTAGTATTTTGTTATTGTTTCGCTCTTATTTCATTTAATCTTATTTGTATACTTCTTTTATGAAAACATGATATTTTTAAACTTATTGTAAGCCATTATGTTTCGAATTAGTTTTTATATTTACTTTTTCTATTACTATATATTTATTTAGTATGCTTTCAATGTACTCATGAAATAATTTATAGTTTTTATTTTGCTTTTCATTGTGATTAAGTATATTTTCCCAATTTATTTTTGTAAAGATTTTTTAAAAAATTAATATATTTTTCTTTGTGATAAACATTTTTTTAATACGCCATTATATGTTAAGTTGTATACTTAACATAAACATAAACACTCACGCCTGTCACCCAGAGGGGTAGGCAGAGACTACGGACTTCCATTTGGCACGATCCTGACACACCTCTGTCGCCTCCTTTACATCCATATATATATACGCATACATGCTCGTCGGTTAAGGGTACTCCTAATCTGGCCCATTGTCAATATATCGTCAATTTGGTCGATAAACCTTCGTCTAGGGCAGGGATGGGGAAACTACGGCCCGCGAAGCGTTGAAATCCGGCCCGCGACCATCAAACAAAAATCAAATGAAGTTTTCATATTGTTAGAAATTTTATTGTCACTGATAGTGCGCGGCTCGCATAAAACAATCACTGTTATTGTTTTATAATTAACGTGATTGAATCACGTATTGCTTCGCGAGCGCGGGCAGTATGAGCGAAAACTGAAAATGAAACTATCGAGTGCGCGCACGGTCCGACCGTCGGCCTCCCGCGGCTACCCGTGTCCACGCCGAAACTGCGCCGCCGCCGCACCGCTGCAGTCAGAGTTTTGTCTTACTTCAAGTCGCATGTTCGTACGCTGTATATTCTTACTTACGAAACTGCATCAGCCGGCGAACAAACGGCGACATTTTTAAATCCGCAAGGTAAGATGTTACCACTTACCTACTTTGTGTGTAAATTCTATAAACAGTTTGTTTAGATAATAATATACGAGTAGTTTAAATTTCATCACTTTTTGTGTTTTAAAATGATTTGATTGTAAAATACTTTTAGGTGACGTATTGATGTTGCCTTTGTTTTTTTGTTACAGCAGTAAAATGACGACCAAATAACGCAAAGTCGATTCTGAGTGTCGAGTTTTTAAAGAAGAATGGTCATGGAAATATTTTTTCACAGAATTTAAAGACAAACCAGTCCGCCTCATTTGTAATGAAACAGTTGTAGTCTCGACATTTCTCAAATAAGACATGCAAATGCGAAATATTCATCTATGACAGAGGCAGAGAGAAAGTCTTTTGTTGAAAGGCAAAAAGAGAAGTTACATGGACAGCAGAACATGTTCACGAAACAATCTGATACTCAGAAGGCTGCAACACTTGCAAGTTATTTTGTAGCTTACAAAATTGCTAGAAGTAACAGAAAGTTATCGGATGGTAAATTTGTAAAAGATTGCATGGTGGCTGCAAGCAACATTTGTCCAGAAAAAAGTAAAGAGATCAATCTTTAGCTTTATCACAGAGAACGATAACAGACCGAATTGACGCCATCGCTGAACAATTATCGTCACACCTGAAAAAGAATTGTAACAAATTTGAATACTTTTCTTTAACGATGGACGAGAGCACAGACGTCAGTGATACTGCCCAATTGCTGATTTTTATTAGAGAAATTGATTCAGAGTTCAACATAACCGAAGAATTAGCATGTTTACAATCCTTGAAAGGAAAAACCACTGGAAAAATTATTTACGATTCATGTCTTGAGGGTATTTCAAAGTTTAACTTGCCTATGGACTAATTATGTAACATAACTACGGATGGAGCACCCAATATGGTGGACAGCAATTTGGGGTTTATGGGTATATTTTGCAAAGAAACCCCTAATAATAATGTATTATTTCTGCACTGTTTTATTCACCAGGATGTGTTGTGTGAAGCATCTATTGACATACAACCTGTTTTGAGTGTGGTTGTTAAACTTGTCAACACAATACGTTCACGAGGTTTGATGCATCGACAATTCCAAGAATTTCTAAAATCCATCGAAAGCGAGTTCTCTGATTTCCTCTACTATACTAAAGTGAGATGGTTAAGCTGTGGTGATGCATTTGAGAGAGTGTAGAACTTAAGAAATGAGATTCAAGACTTTCTGACGGTGCAAGGCAAATGGAACGACTTTAAGATTATGTCTGACGAAAATTGGCTTCCTGATTTTGCATTTCTCACAGATTTGCTGTCACACCTAAATAAATTAAATATGAAGCTTCAGGGCAAGAATCAATTCTTAGATGAGCTTTGGGCACATTTAAAAGCCTTCAAACTGCAGCTTAAATTGTTTTGCAGTTGTGTGGAGAAAAATGAACTTACCCATTTTCCCAAACTGAGCAGTATATCACCTGTCTCAGACGACCACCTAAATAGGTTCGCTCAACAACTGAAGAAACTGCATGCGAAATTTGATAACAGATTTCAAGATTTTCAGGGAATCGAACCGTCACTAAATATTTTTCCAATGCCTTTTAATGTGAATGTCGATGAAACACCCGCTAACCTCCAACTTGAACTAATTGAGATGCAATGCAAAACCCATTTGAAGCAACTATTTCCTAACACCAGTAAATTGGAATTTTATAAATCCATATCTAGGATACAATACCCAAATCTAGTAGCCCACGCCCAAAAATTAATGGCTATGTTTGGTACAAGCTATTTGTGCAAACAAACGTTTCCAATAACGAAACTAAGAAAAAATTGTCTTCGTAATAGGCTTTCAGATGACCACCTGTTTTCAATGCTAAAAATTTCAGCATCACAAAGGAGCCAGTTTATGATGAAATCATGCAGAAACATAAACCGTTGCACATGTCACATGCCCCCGCAAAGACCAGCGCTCCGCAACCTTCTACTTCGCAGCTAACTTAAAAGTTTAATTTAATTGCAATTTGCGGATGATTTTTATTTTAGTGGTTATTTTGTAATATTGCACAATAAATTAGTGTTTCAGAACAAACAAACCTTTCAATATTTTTATTTCAGCAAATAATATAGCTAAAAATGCAACAACTTGGCCCACCATATATTTCGTTAATAAATATTGGCTCGCGAAGTAAAAAGTTTCCCCATCCCTGGTCTAGGGTGTCCCTTCCCGACTCTGCCGTTTACTTCTGCAACATAAATTTGCTTTGTGACTCTTTCCTCGTTCATTCTTTCTACATGACCAAACCACCGAAGCATTCCTTTCTTAATCCTGGTCACAACGTCATCTTGCAAACCACACTTTTCTCTTATCACACAATTTCTCACCCTGTCATTCAGATGCAGCCCTAGCATACTCCTTAATGACCGCATTTCTACAGCATTTATTCTACTGTCATGCTTCTTCTGCCAGACCCAACTTTCACTACCATACATTAAATTAGGGACTAACACAGCATTATGAATTGCCATACGTGCCTTTTTTCACGCATTCTGGTTTTCCATAATAGCGTGTAGCGTTCACTCGTTGTGTACTTAAATTATTTATTTCTAATTCCTTTGTCATCGGAAATACCATACCATAGTCTATGACGTAAGGATTTGTTTACACTATTTGTATAGTTAGTGAATTATCAAAATCAAGATATATACGAAAATTCAGCTTATTACCTCTCATTCCGAGGTTGAACCCCTTTTTATGCTAAAGTGACTGGGCTATAACATGAATGTGTTTATTTCTTTAACTTGTCTCTAAGAGATTCTACAATTTAAGTTATAATTGCTCGTGCAACCCACTTTTGCAAAACAAATAAGGTTTCAAGGTCAGTCCCGTTACCATAGCAAAATTCCGTAAGGACATCATGCTTTGAAAGTAACTAAAATAAAATTTTAACAAAATTAAAATAAAATAAAATAAAATCTTTCTTACGGCATATGTTGCACAACTAAGCAACGCAATAACAACTAGAATAATACATAGTGATAGTTTAGTGGCTCTTTATAGTTTGCAAATAATTACATTAAATTTAATTTTTTTTTTCAGATTCAGTCAAACTGATGAAGATATTCAAATCGACATGTACAAAGTACTCGAACAACTAATCGCTCACGATGACGCTTGGCCGTTCATGGATCCCGTGGAGGAGGAGTACGCTCCCAATTACTACGCGGTTATAAGACGCCCTATGGACCTGCACAAAATGGAGGAAAGACTCGATAGTGGATACTACACGGATTTTACTATGTTCAAAGCAGATTTCAAGTTAATTGTGAACAACTGTAGACTGTACAACGGACAAGACAATGGTATGTTGTGTATTCTTTTGTAAGGCTACTCTTTCACTTTCTTTTTTATTTCTAACACATCTTTGTTATAAAGTAAATCTGTATATTATATCTATGTGTGCGGAAACAGGGGTCTTCTCAGATATTAACTCCAGATATTAATCGTTTATTTCTACATTAAATTGAATATTTATTTTTGTACAAATACTAAAGAATGCTTATTCTTATACCAATGCTATAATTACAATATTTAGTAAACCAGTTGTTTAAATTTATATTAGACAGGCGGGTAGTTTCGAATAATGTAATGGTCCAACGTAAGTTGACTACGGCGCTTTTTCGTTCGGCTTGTTTCTTTAGAACTGGTACTAATGCCACCAGCATTAATTACGGATGTCCTTTAAGGTGAGGTGGTCCTCCGTTAACTCCTGCTTTACGTGTCAACTGCTATAAAAGCTTTACGCGCATGCAACGCCATAAGATAAGATAATAAAATTTGGCGTTTTCTTGTGGGAATCCATTACATTAAAGATGTTAAAAATGAATTAGCTAATGGCCAAATACTCAAACGCTACTTAATTTTAAGATGCTAAATCTCGTGGCGTCACAGTCACTTTGGTTTAAAGTGAAGAGACAACACGAGACTTAACGACATCTTAACACTGAGTAGCGTTTTATAGCTATAAAATATAGATAATTAATTTTTAACATCAAGGTTCTAATATATAGGCTGCCCCAAAAGTCGACGTGAAGCCGGAATCGGGTGATAGGTCAAGTCATAATAGTTCACAGAAAAATATAAAGTATTTTAAAAATTACAGACATTTATAAAAAAATCGAGAAAATCTACAGCCTATGACAGTCTTTTAACTCAAAATAAAATTTTCTTTTTATTATGTAATCCTGAAAAATGATTCTGAAAACTGTTGCTTAAAATTTACAGCCAACTGCTCCAGTCAAAACTCGTATAGTACTGTTTTTCCAGTACAGACATTTAAAACTGGGCAAAGTATTAATTTTGAATACTTAGTTGGGAAAAAAATTACATTTCCTTCTGGACTGGACTGGACATATACAAATCTTTATTTTTATAATAATAATAATATAATAATAATAGGAAGGAGATAATAATAATAATAGGAAGGAGAAGGAGCTCCACGGGATGTTCTACAAGGCTCTACATGTGCCTTTCGTAGACATAGTCGCCTCCGGTGACCTCTTTGGGGAAACCGAGGGTTTTGTCTGTGCGATACAGGATCAGGTTATTAAGACCAACAATTATCGGAGATACATCCTAAAGGATGGCGCCGTCGACATCTGTCGAGCTTGTCGCCATCCCGGTGAGTCACTTAGGCATGTCATCTCCGGTTGTTCGGCGCTTTCTAACTCTGAGTATTTGCACAGACACAATCTAGTAGCCAGGATTCTACAGCAGGAGCTCGCTCTGAAATACGGCCTCGTGGATCGGAAACTGCCGTATTATAAGTACTTGCCGGAAGCCGTGCTCGAAAATGACCGCGCCAGGCTCTACTGGGACCGGGCCATCATCACAGACAGGACTATTCTTGCGAATAAGCCTGATATTGTGCTGATGGACCGGGCACAGTCAATGATCTTTTTGGTCGACATTACCATTCCTTATGACGAGAACCTCGTGAAAGCCGAAACAGATAAGGTGACAAAATATTTGGACCTGGCTCACGAGGTTACCGGCATGTGGGGTGGTCTGCCGACCGAAATTATTCCTGTGGTCGTTTCTGCGAACGGGTTAATCCCAGTCAGCCTCCCGGGTCATCTGAGGCGACTGGGACTCCGTGACGGACCGCTCCAGGCTCAAATGCAGAAGGCGGTGCTCCTCGATACCGCCCGCATCGTCCGCCGGTTTCTTTCCCTTTCCCCCTAACCCTCGGCCGTCTGGTCTCCCCTGCCGAGGGCTTCCATCTGGTGGGGTTTTTATATATTTATGTATTTTTATGTGTTTATTTTATTTTATTCATATTTATGTATGTTTACCACTTTCATTTACAATTATATATTGATACTGCCCAACCAGATGAGAAAACTTTATAGATACCCCAAAATAATAATTTCTTTATTTGCTTAAAACATGGTATTTGTAGGTGGTACAGTAAAATAAGTAATATATAAAGATTTGACTAAATAAATTTTTAAATTATGTATGTCAACCCAATTAATTAAAGTATCTATTGTATTATTTATGTCAAGCTTCATGGTCACTCATATTATTAATTTTTTTGTTGGAAGTGACGATAATTGAAATGTCATCAGCTTATAGAATACATTTATGCTTCGTCATATTGACAATATCATTTAAGTACAACAGAAACAGGATTGGACCGAGAACACTTCCCTGTGGAACGCCATATTTATTGTTTCGGTATTCGGAAGAGTACGGTATTATATCCCCATTTACATCTGTTTTAGTAACAATGACACATTTTTGCCTATAATAAAGATATGATGATATCCATTGAAGCGCAGGTCCTCTAATTTTTGTAACAATAGGTCCTCTGAAACTAGCTCAAAGGCTTTAGATAGGTCAAAAAATAGTCCCGTGGTAAAATTATTATTATTGATATTTGACAGTACTACTTTTATGAGTGAAAAAATCGCCAAATTTGTAGATTTATCTTTTTGAAAGCCGTACTGTTCGTTTGATATAATCTGATATTTATTACAAAATTCAATTAGTCTTTTATACATGCATTTTTCATATATTTTTGATATAACGGATATTTGGGTTATTGGTCGATAGTTATTAATATCATATTTTTCACCTTTTTTAAACAGCGGTTTAACTATTGATAGTTTCAATGTATCTGGAAAGATTCCACACGAAAATGAAAAATTAATTAAATATGTCAAGATTTCAATTAATTAATAAATACAATTTTTTATTATTTTTGTGTTTATGTCATCGTAGCCTTCAGATCTAGTATTTATTAATAGTATTATTTCCCTTTTAACCTAAGTTATAATATCAAAATACTGTAATTAAAACTTTGTTTACAATATTTTTAACTAAGTAGAATACAATCACATTTCTGTTAGGAATAGTATTTCGGGTTTATTAGTTGTTTACACTATCTACCTATTACTTCCGAGCCAAGCATCGCGATTCCCCACGAATGGCCTTGCAAGTTGCATGCGTTGGGCATGACAAAATTCACATAGTAGTGAAAATATGGTCAGTCGATCATAGTCAGGATAGGTACTTTAGCTAAGTAACTTACCATTTCGCAATGTATTTTTTACTCTTTGCTGATAACCCTTAGTAACCACAGAAAGTCCCCCGTGAAAGAAGGGGAAGGGAAAAAGATACAGTTTTTTTAAAAGCAAAAGAAAAGAAAAAAAAAGTAGTGCGGACACACGCGCGAAGCGATAAAGTTTTATTTAGCTTGCGTGCGCGATTTATCCAATAAATAATAATTACGTAGGTTATTAAAACGTCGGCAAGCAGTCTACATCAAAGGAGTGCAACTTCTGTGCGTAGTACTATTATTTATTCCGTGACTACGCGAACTAACCTCGATTTAAAACACAAGCATATTTTATCTGAAGGAAAGTTTGTTCATTCCCTCAGATATTGAGTGCCAGACAATTATAGTGGGGCTACTTTGAGAGGATTCATTTTTAACCTGTAATGCAATGATATAGTAATTGAACACAGTTTCCACTTACCATCAGGAGGGCTGTGTGCTCTTTTGTAAACCTTATTCTAAAAAAAATAGTGTAAGTGTGTAAATATTTAATTTCCCTAACGTTTTATTTTAATTTTAAGATCCTATGCTATAAGCGGACAATTCTTATGTATTTATTGCTTTTTAACCATTTGTGTTATCTCAAGTGGCAGCCTCGTACCGGCAGGCGAAGTGTTGGGCGTGCCCCCACTAGATGGAGTGACGACCTGCTAAGATATGCAGGAAGTCGATGGATGCAGGTGGCTCGGGACCGTGCTTTGTGGCATTCCTTAGAGGAGGCCTATGTTCAGCAGTGGACTTGTGAAGGGCTGTAATGATGATGATGATGAACCATTTGTGTGAAATTTACTATTTAGTTAATGTTAGTAAGTTTATCTAAATAGGAGTCTTTTCTGAGAAAACTATATTTTTTAACGCCATGCAAAGCTTTGCCTGTGTTACCAGTATACATTTTTTATAGAACAAAGGTGGCAAACGAGCACACAGTCCACTTGATGGCAAGTGGTTGCTGTAGCCCATAGCCATCTACATTTATCCTCGATTAAGAGTCAAAATGCAGATGCAACGTCAACCGTGAGGAGTAAGATGGAATGCCTCTTTGCCTGTACTGATGGTGATCATGTCCGTATTCTACATTAGATTTGATAGACCACAAATCCTCGTTAAAGAACACGGATTCCTTCCAAGGACAAACCCCAGAGGACTAAGATGGAATGCCTCGTTATAAGTAAAAAGGGTCTCCGGCTCTCTACTTTTACCATACGAAACACAGTAGCATTGAGCTGCTATTTTACGCTGTTATTCAGTGAGAGCGTGGTGGACCCCGGTCGAGTCGACACGTTCGTGCTGCAGCCACAATATAGCAACAGCATGGCTTTATCACGTATAAACATACTTTACACAGAGTATACGATGATGGTGGACAACCTTCAAACGGCATTCGACCGTCTCACCGAGAAGTACATCCATCGAGTGTCTTCTTCGGACGAAGAGATCGCGGTGGAGTACCAGTTACCAACGCCCTCACGCAAGCACAAGCTCAAGAACAGTGAATCTCCCATTCGCCACAAGCGGAAGAAAAGAAAATCTCATTCTGACGCAGGTACACTTTGCAGTGCTTTGTTTATTTGTTTCTATTTTTATGATGAAAGCATCAGGGAACTGTCTTTATTGTGAACATCTTTGACGGCTCCGTGGCGCAGTAGCTTAGCAATGAGTTACGGCGTTGAAAGCTGCAATCTCGAATCCCGCACGGAACAAGTATTTTTTTCTTCCGAATGTGGATGTTTGTCCTTATGCTATTTATGTATGCGAGCTGACTCCACGACACATGACAAAATTCTAGTGTAGGGGTAAAAAAGGTGTCATTGCAAGTAATGATTGTAACTAATTTATATATATATATATATATATATATATATATATATATATATATATATATATATATGCCCCCCCCCCTTATATGGTACCCCTTACGAATGTGTGCATTCGTAAGGGGTGCGGTAATTGCAAAATAACCTTGTATATATATATACAAGGTTATATTGCAATATATATGTATATATACACATTCGTAAGGGGTACCTTGTAGCGCATCTCCGCCGCTTTTTTTTATTTACCGTTACATCGCTACGTACCTGCGTCCGCTCGCCCAGCCAAGCCAACAGCTGACGGTGTTGACCGTGACCTCATTACGTACGCTTTGTTACCAATGACATAACAAAAATATTCGAACCACGGGTACTATGAAATGGTGCAATATTACAGTGTTTACTGTGTTTGCAAAGACAAGGAATTAACGCTCGTGTACCACCAATTGGAGAACAATTTTTGCAGCTAACCAAAGGCTGTTAGACTTTGGACAGTACTAAGCTCGGCTGTCGAAAACACGGTGAACGAGTCAAAGACTACAATAGTAATTCAATCGGCAGTTATTTTTACGAACCCCATGCTCGTAACAATATTATATAGGGAAGATCGAGTTTTTGGAACGAAACGAGTTAAGTTAAAGAGTTAGCCAGTACGTGTGGGTACTACTGAATTCTTTTGGATATCGCCCATTTCATTACCAACGTTTTCAAGCACTATGTGCACTATGTGATGTTCCACCCCGAAAACATTTTTGTAAATGGTTAGTTTCATTATAAGTGATTGCATATTTAAGTAGTAAAATTATGTCAATAAACATATTACGCCGTACTACACTGAATGGCGTACGCGCCGACTCGATGTTTGAGTCAGTTGAGGTCGACAATACTCCTCACTATTCGCACTGCCTATTTTTATTAACCGGCCAGTCTGGTTTTAAACGCTCTCAATGCTAGACGCTGCGCTCACGCCGCCCGAATAAGTGTTATTTAAATCGCGCCAATCTATCATTGGCTTCCTAGCTCAGCTATCTTTTCTACAACTAATTATTTACATTTATTATCAACCTCTTTCCCTCGCTCTGTAGTCTGAACTTGTATTTCGAATTGTCTTTGGTGTGGGAGTAAAAAAATATATTTAATTCGTGGAGTGTAGAATTTTTATTTGCATAGTATCCATCCCACACGCCGTTAAAATGTAAATATATATATATATATATATATATATATATATATATATATATATATATATATATATATATATATATATATATATATATATATAATCTATTATGACGTATTTAAGCCCGTTTAAAGTATGAAGGGGAAATTGGAATCACAGTATTGAGCGTGTCATTGACTCATACACACACGAGCGCGCGCTGTTGTTACCCATAACTCACATTCAATTTAAGATAATTTCTACGCTTATTTTTAAAAACTGCAAAAAGTGTATATAAACTGAAAAATAACCCTGTATATGTTGTAACTCAATGTTTCTTGTTTCTTGTCTACTTGTTATGTTTAGTAGAATAATTGGTCAATTTTGAGTGATTAACTTGTTTGTTTGCAATGTTTTCATGTTTCGTAAAGTGCTAGTGATGATGGCAGCAAGTTATAGAAGAACACAGTAATATAATAAATATATAATTAATACACTGTTACAAATCCATTAACCAAATCATTATTTTAACTGACTATGATCTAAACTATATTTCTAGTGTCAGTTTGCAGTGTTGATACACAGTTTTCTATATGTAGTTGTGGCATATGGCTATATGTTTTTCATTATTTAACCTTAAGTTAAACGGTCTGGTGAACCGACTGTAAAATAAATGTCGACTTATTATACTTGATCAAAGTAAACGTTTAGTGTTTTAGAAGTATCACACGTAGTACAACGCCTTTGACATTAACTTTGTGTAACTGCATTTAATGTAAAAAAAAAAATTGTTTCAGGTGAACCCAAATCCAGTACTTCAGATCCAATCGAAGATGAAAAACAAGATGAACAGGCGCCAGAATCAAGTGAAGTAAAAAAATCAAAGGAATCTCATAAAAGTAAGCAGGGAAAGACAAAAAAGAAACGCAAAGGTCATCATCGACATGGTAAGCACTCCAAGAATCACAAAAAATACTCCCACAAATCTGAACGTGACTCTAAGAGTAGACACAGTAAAAAACAAAAACACGCTAAAAATAAAGACAGAGAAGGAAAAAAGTCTAAACAAAAGAAAAAGAAAAGTAAACACCATGAATCTGAACCAGTAGAAGTCATAAAGCGGAGTGAGTCACAAGAATCCTTGGAGAGCTCAAATAGAAGTCGCAGCGCAAGCCCTTTGCCCTCTATTCACACTCCGACGCCTTCGCCAACAGAACTTGACCAGCAAGAGCAGCATGACCAGTCTGACCAACTTTCCGACCCTGACTTCTATAAAGACAAATATGACAAAATTAAAGAGAGAAGGCGACATGCCGCTAAGGACGCATGGGAATCTCTGTTTGATTGTAAGCAAAAATCAGTGGACAAACCGAAACAAAATTTGCGTATTCCTGAAAAAGATAAAAATCAGAAATTGAGAGAAACTATCGAGAAACTAAAAGCCAAAAATGAAAAATTCAAAGACAGCTCACTATTTAACAGTCTATTTACACCGAGTCAGAGCAGTGCTGACAAAAGCTTAGACTCGAATACAAAAGATTCAAAAGACTCGGTAAAAGAAGATGACGAACCTGAATTTTCAGATGATGATGAGGATTTGAAAGAAAAACCCGCCAACAAAAAAGTTGTAAAGAAAAACACGGCAAGAAATGAATCAGCTTCTGAAGCTTTGGAGCAGGCTGTCAAAGATATAAGTAAGTGGTTGGACGACGCACCGAAAGGTTCTGCGACAAGTTCGCCATCAGACAAACCCGAGCAAACTATTTCAACCGAAGATCCAGATAACAGTCGCCAAGACGACGAATTATCGCAGGGGGAGAAGCCTTTGCAAAATAAAAAGGATGTAACCCGTAAGAGACCTTCTTCACGAGAACCAAAATTATTGAAGAGAAGGGAAATACAACGAACTATCGATAGATTGCAACCGGGCAAAAGCAAGGGTAACCTTCTCACTAACATGCCCCATAAGAGCTCTGAGAAACTTGAAGAGTCTGCCCCGCCAGGTCCGCTCAATAAAACGCGTGAAACTGTGAAAGCAGAAGAGTTCAGTCCAAAACTAAGTCTCGGCTCGGTTCTACCAGCCGTAGAGTTTACACTGGGCAGTGATCATAACTTTACAAATGATGACGATAAAACTGAAGAGAAAAAAGAAATAGTTAAAGTAGTGGAGACAGAAAAGAAGGTCGTTGAAGAGATAAAGGTTGAAAATAAAATTGAAGAAAAGCCACCACCTCCGACTAAAAAAGATGCAGAAGTCGAAACTGAACCGACTGTTCCACCTAAACCTAGCCAGGAAAAAGCTACACCGAATTTAAGCGCTTGGTTTAAGGCTTTTGGCGCTCCAAAAAGTACTACCTCATCAGCAGTGACTACGAAAAAGAAACCAGAAGAGCAGGACTGTGAAGAAAAACCAACAGATAATGCCAATGTTGATAATAAACCTAACAATACTAGGAATACGGTAAAGTTTGATTCTCCAAATGGTCCTGAAACGCCTAATCACGAGGGCGGGGAGAGCCCTCTGCCGAGTATCACGAACACACCTAGGCAGCGAAGGACCAGTACCGGTAGCTCATTGTCCGAAAGATCTTCATTTAGTCAAGATCTAGATTCGCCTCGACATCAAATGTCTCACACTTCACCACTTCTGAGGTCTCCAGCTTCTCCAAGGACAGAAGATTTTCAAAAGATTACCTACCCAATTATAAACGGGTCTGTGAGAGCAGGCTTCTATCAAGATACAACGTCTCTCAAAAGTAGCCCCGATAAGAGCTGTAGTCCGCGCGAGATGCCTCAATCGCCTTACTCACCGTATTCACAACACGTGTATATTTCGAACAACGCTACAGGATCTGCGACTCCAAATTATTTTGTTGATCATAACAAGAGTCCATTACCTGCCTATGGACAAAATGCACCTTCATACTACGATGCATCCAAATCGCAGGTGATCAGTAAGCCAGTGCCCAGAGTTCACGGCGACTTTACGCCTTTGGCACCTACCTCATATCAACAAAATAATTTCAACGGCCCCTATTCTCCCACCACTCCACCATATCCGCAGCCTCAAAACAAGAACTATTCTCAACCTCAGGCATCACCGCACCCTGAGCCAACCCCGCCTAGCCCAGTAGCAATTCCCTCGACACCGATTTCAGATTCTAAGACGACACACTTCCCTGTCAAAAAGCGAACTTACAACGAACCTGAAGAATTAACTAAAAAAGGCCCAGAGCCAAAGGAAATGGCTGCACCATCGATGCCGCCCAAGAACGACTACCAAAAGATTGCACAACCTGCACATCAAATACCAACAATGTCAAATACGTCTATCGATGATATAGCATTGGCTTTAAGTGAAAAATCAGAATTAGCCAAAATGAATAGTCTACGTGAAATAAGTAGTGTGGAATATGTCGAGGGGAACACGTGCACTGAGAACATAGATCTCACGTACGACGCCAATGATGATAGTCACGAGGACAAAAACGAAATGGCAAACAACGATCCTAACAAGCCAGTTAGCATAATGACAAAAGATAATGTTGATATGGTGAATATGGGTTACATGAATCCGGACAACGATAGACGGAGTAGTAATGGGTGTCATGAAATAGATTACACAAAACCAAGCATAGTAACTCAACAGAAAGTGTACGATGTGGAGTCTATCGCTATAAATCTTGGTATTAATAATCATCAAACGCCGAAATCGTTGCCGAAGTCCAGTGTCGGCTGCAGCAATATGACTCCGGCACATTCGCACGACAGACAGCTTGGTGAGATTACTGTCAACCAAAACATTGCGCATGCGCACCACACTCAATACGACACCACCAGCTTTTCCTTGAACGACATCGATCTGGCCAACAAAAAGCTTTACGCCTGCAACGCGACGCCTGCAACTACGGCCATCGATTACGGTAATTGGAAAGTAACCAATCAAATCCGCAATACAGATATGCCATCTGACTACTCCACCACGTATGCCGCTAGTAACGAAGAGAAGCTTAAAACCGAGGTGAACGTAACCAATTCGGCCGCTATTAACTACAATAAAAACTTGCAACAGCAGCAGTACAACGCGTACAATAATGTACCGAGAGCGAGTTTACAAAGATCGCAAGAGCTCCAGCAGAGCCTCCCGGCCGAACTGCGAATACCGAATCCGCGCGGCATGCTTAAGAACGAGCATATGAGCGTGTCGTCCACGCTCAGCGACAGCGACCACATTACTAAGAATATCGATACACTTGCAAAGTCACAAAAAGCCGAGAAATTAGTACAGAATCATCCCCTCGTGTCGTCAATTCCGTACAAAGCTCCCTACAGTACACATACTACGATCCCTCTGGACACTCTAAGAAGTATTCCTAATATACCACAAATGCTAGAACGATATACTAATGATGAACGATTTCTGTCCAGTTTTGCAACAAGTGGTGCATCCTTATATCATGATAAATCCTTCCAAATGTTCAACAAAAGTATAGCGTCCGACATAATTCCTGTCAGCACTTCGGTTAGTGCTTACTCACAGCCGTCTACATCTTTGAGCAAGGATGCTGGCATATATAAAACGTCCTCAAGCATTGCGACTACTCAAGCAGACACAAAGATGAAGGCTAAACGGAAAAGAGCAGCGGAAAACAAATCTTCACCGGTCGGCAGCCAGCCCTACCATCACGCTTCGACATGCAGCACGGACGTACTGAATTCTGTTAAATCGAACATGATGTCTGCGAGTGCATTCAACTTTGGTACATCGACGAACATGGCGCTCGGCAGTGCGCTCTACGGAGACAACGCATTCTCCATGGAGGACTTCCGTAACAGCACCAACCAACTGATGGCCGCGAACTACATGGCCGCAGCCGTGGCGCATCAGCAGCGGAATTCGGTGGAGGCTAATGCAGAAAAGCTTGTAAAGCCAGCACACCAGAACTCGAGCACAAGCACATTCCCGTACATAGGGCATGGCCAAGTACGGGCGGGGTACCCGTTCGTGGGCGCGGACACTTCTTCACCTCTGTACCAGCAGTACCTGCAGCGCCACCAGGAGGAGCTGCTACGACAAACCGGCGCGCAGATCATGAGCCTGTACTCTCCTGGATATCCGGCAGCACTGGGCGTTCGCCAGCCACCGTACGACGCCATCAACCGGCACTCCTGGCTCTAGGCTCCGCGACACCACGAGCCTCATGACGCCATCACTCACCACTCCTGGCTCTCTTTACACCACAAACTTCAAGCGGATCACTATTTATTTATATTATCGTATTACTAATTAAATGTGACAATTGTTATAGGAAATTGTAATTTATATTGTTTGTAGATTCGAAAAAAAAATAGCATTTTTGTGGGAATACTTTATGGATATTTCTTATTCGCGTTATCGCTTACGATCATGACAAATATATTTACTTGGCTTGTTTGTATTGTATACTGTATACGTATAAATAGATGTCAACCCGTGACAAAACACGGCCCCTGTACTGTTCGCATATCCAGATATAAATTTATAAATCGATGTCGCGCAGTCAAAAACATATTCGCATGTTACTCTATTGTTAATGTCTATGACACGAAACTATTGACTTTTTACTTTGTAATATTTTATTATCATTATTGAGTTCAGTATTTTATTATCGTTTTCAAGCGAGTACCGTTGACGTACAGTATGCCAAGATTTATTTGTATAAATATTGATTTATTTTGGATGAACGTTTTTATTAGACGCTTACAGCTTCTAGCTTTGATTTCCTATTGATCATGCTGCTTTTAAGGTCACATTAGATTACATTGTTATTTGATAAATTTAAATTTTATGTTACAATATAGTAGTCTAGATTGTTATGTAAATACTTTAATACTTTGTTTACGTACAATTTTTGTTAGGATATATGTACTTCCGTTAGATAAGTTTAATTCTAAACATAACTCTTGAAAATAGATTTAAGAAGTTCATATAAGAAATATAAAATTTTCTTCTTGTGTAAAAATGGAAATAAAGATAATAAATTACTATACGTATTTTTACTAAATGACAATGATATCGGTACTAGAATTCACACAAATTTTCCCGTTATTTTACAAAAATCAATTTTTTTAGGCGATTTCAAAAAGGAGGTTCTAAATCCGACTGTATATTATTTTATTATTGACTGTGTATTGTTTATGTATATTTACGCGATATTTTCAATGATCCTTTTTTAACCCTGACAAAAAAGAGGGGTGTTATATATTAAACGTGTGTATCTGTGTGTCTGTCTGTGGTGTCATACTTCGAAACGGATAAACGAATTTAGATTTAGTTTTTTTTTGTTTTACCTCCAATATTCATAAATAAATGTGCTAAAATATTGTCGACACCACTAAATTTAATTTATAACCGATCTATCTCGGAAGGCATTTTTCCAAACGTATGGAAAGAGGCTATCGTTTTACCAATCCATAAATCCGGAAGTATCAATGTTATCTGTAATTATCGACCCATCAGCATACTTTCCACTTTGTCAAAAATATTTGAATCCCTTGTTAGTAACCATTTAAAGTGGCACGTAAAACAACTTCTGAGTGACTATCAACATGGTTTCTTTGCGAAGCGATCCACAACAACCAACTTAATGTTCTTTGTTGAAAAGGTTTTAACCGAACTAAGTAATGGCAATGAGGTTGATGCCGTTTACACCGACTTTAGCAAGGCCTTTGACAAAGTGGACCATAAAATATTACTGGCTAAACTTAAAAACTTTTTTTTTATTGATGGATGTCTTTTGAGATGGTTTGAGTCCTATTTAGAAAATAGAGTAATGAGGGTTGTTGTAAACGGTTTTGTATCTCACATATTTCAAGCTACTTCTGGAGTTCCTCAGGGTTCAGTCCTGGGTCCAATTTTATTTTGTTTGTTTATAGATGACAAAACATGTATTAAATAACAGTCAATTTGTATTATACGCCGATGATCTGAAATTTTTTAGAACCGTTAAGTGCACAGAGGACCAGTTACTATTACAGAGGTATATAAACGATCTTTGTAAATGGTGTGAATGTAATAAGATGGAACTCAATGTAAAAAAATGTCACCACATAAAATTTTTAAGGAAATATAAAAAATTCGAGACTAATTACTATATTGCAGATACTCGTCTTAATCAAGTAAAATATGTTAAAGATTTAGGCCTAAACATTGATTTCGAAATGAGATTCACACGTCATATTGATATCACAATAAATAAGTGTAATAGAATAATAGCATTCATCTCACGTAACACTACAGAATTTAAGTCCATACCAGCTTTAAAGGCCCTCTATTTCGCGTTGATCTGTAGCAATATACACTACTGTTCCTTTGTTTGGTATCCTAGTTATCAAAACAATATACAACGTATAGAAAAGGTACAAAAAAGAATGTTAGCTAGACTCAGTTACATTGAAGGGACTTATCACACTTTTAATAGCTATAAGAAAGATCTGAGATTTAGTACAATTACATCATTTCCATAGTGCCGTTAAACGTTCGCCCGCGACGACTGCCAAGGGCGCAATGAGGTGCCTGCCGCCTGGCGCTCTCGTCGACTCGTCGGCCGACAGCTTTCCACATGGTCGGCGTCAACCACGGACCCGACGTGTCGTGAGTGATGCGCTCGCTACCAAGGCCGTCAGACATCAACCAAAATATTGGTCAGACAACCGATGTCTACACTGTCCATTTTTACATCAACTCGACCAAGGTCACGACGGTTGGTGGTTGGTCCCGACCGTGTAGAAGGCTTTTTAGCGTGACAAACTAGCAAACAGTCCACTCTATGGTAAGTGATTGCTGTGGCCCATAGATACCCACATTCATCGATAAAATGACTAATTAATAATTACAACCATAAAAGCTTGTAAGCTGCAACGTGGCTCTACCACGTTTGAAAACGTTACCAGGTTCAAATAGCGTTTTTTCTGCGGTGCTACCGCAAAAAAGAGAAAAAGGAGATACTGGGTGAAGAAGCCGCTCTTTATACACTTTTATCACCCCGTCCAAATTTCACACTTCATTGGTATCCATTGTGACTTGCGCGCGAAAGTCGCTAACGAACTGATTAAAATTGCCCCAATTGCGCTACACGCGGCAGCGGCAGCTATGATTTAGGGAGCAAGGAAGATTTTGCGGCCCTGCCGCCCTGCCGCCCTGCCGCAGGGCGGACTTAGAAAATTGCCCTTGCTTGCATACACATCACAATTAAGGAGGCTTTTAAGGGTCATCCCCACTCCTACACCCTACATTGCCTCTGCAGCAGGCAAGTGAGAAGCCGCTTTAAGATGACACTAGTCGACAATATTTCCATACAAATTTCGGAGGGGTTTTACTACGCTGTTTGACAGTGTACATCCAAAGTTAAACATGATATCGTTTTGTCTCATTATTAAATTTGTCTGTACGGAAACAGAATAGTAAAATAAAATGTTATTAAAAAGTTACGGGCTACCAAAGATCGTTTTTATTGCCAATTTTAACACAACTTTGGGCGTAAATTAGTAATAAAAGAAGTGTAAAATTTCCAAAACAAAGTCGGTACCGACACAGCTCAATTATCGAAGAATTCAATAAATTTTATTCGTAATTGATTTATGCAGTGGTTTTTTCATAAAACCCCTTCTTCCAAAGGCCTTTTCGTATTTTTTTACGCGCGTATGTTACTATGAATTATCGTGCATCTCACTGAATAATGTTTCCCCCGGTGCGGTGCGGGAGAACGACGCTTACACACACATGCACGGGCGGTGACGCGCGCTTATTCGAGTTTTATTCGAAACGAAAAGTTTTGCTATTTTGTAATTTGGACGCCAAAGACAAAAGACAGCATGGAAATTGATATAATTGAAAGAGATGAATGATGCGTTTTGGACGACAGACAATATTGTAAAATTTTCGTGTGTAATATGATATAATTATAAAAGTAAAAAAAGTAAAGTCTATATACGATTACTATATAAAATTGCAACAATTTCATTGGTGCCGACGGGGATCGAACCCGGGTTGCTCGCGTAATGTGATACTTACGGCGAGCGCTAACCATCTGAGCTACCACGGCTCTCAATGCAAGTGTTATAAATAAATAAAGAATTACAAAACAGTTTAATTATTTATTAGACGACTCTTGCGGCGGACAAACAAGGTACATTATGTGGGATTTTCATAGGTACCTACTGTTATTACCTAGATACCTACAACCTACAATACAACAAAATGTCACAAAACGTCACCGCGTCGTGGCCACAAAATTGTAAACTTTAGGTAGGTACGTCAGTACTAAGAAAACAATCTTGATGGGTCACTTGTCTTGATAAAAACCTGTGTTTACATTTAGTGATATTGAGTGTATATAAAAAAGTAAGAAGACAGGTAAGTATTTTTGAAAACAATTTATAGGTAGGCAGAACTAATTACAATTACCTATTATCTAAATATTATAAATGCGAAAGTTTGGATATCTGGATGGACGGATGAATGGATGTATGTTACTCAATCACACCAGAACCGCTGAAGGGACCTGGATGATATTTTGCTCAGAGATAGGTTATAGTCTGGAATTTTATTATTTTTTTTATTTTTTAAAAAAACGTTACCCCCACACTAGGATTTTCTCCTGTATCGTGGAGGCAGTTTACAAACATCCAGACCCGGAACAACTATTTGCAGGCCATACAAATACTTGTTCCGTGCGGGATTCGAACCCGCGGCTGCCAGTGCAACAATTCATTGCTAAGCAACTGCGCCACGGAGCTGTAAATAACATATATGATACCGTTTATTCAGGTATTTCGTTCCCGTTGGATAATTTTTGCAGTTATACACGTTCGAAGCCGAACTCTTAAGTGATCGCTGCATGACCACTCGGGAAAAACTAAACATAATAAAGTAAGCAATCTATATTTGGTATATAGAGCCACAGAGGTATAATATGAAGCGATAAAGCAGCGCCTAATAATTTCGCGGTTTCACCCGCGTCATCACGTGTCCGAGATGCGTGGCATGACATGACACCTAGTTCAAGCATTTTATAATTGCAATCAAATATTTTATTTGATAATAATGTATGGAAAAATTGTCATAATTAATGGAGTACTTTTATTTTATCTGTCGGCATACTATGCGCGGTTTTATCCAGTTTTAAAGAAAAACGTACA